AAAGTGAACTCCTAGCAACTATAATTCTTCTGGAAATTTCAAATGACAAGTGTCATGTTGCAATTGTCAGTTGTATTTATGTATGTACACTTCCTGGGCATATATCATGTTGCTATGGTGAGAAAAAGTTAACCAACCATAAGTCTCTCTTGGAAATTAGCAACTTTCTAGAGAATGTATTTTTAAAAGTTCAATGAAAAGTATCAAGGTTTCCAGAAAAAAAGTATCGAGAAAATTGATTTGAAAAAGGTGTTTGTAGACCTATTTTAGTCATGTTGAGTACAGGTTAGTCCCAAGCTCGTCAATACGTCTAATAATGATCGTTGGGCGAGGACCAGAGGTCTGAGTATATTACGTCATTATTAGACTTATTGACAAGCTTAAGACCATTAACCAACTTTTAAAATACAGATGTGACGCCATCCTTTGATCTTGGTATACAATTATCCAACATAATGGTACTTACAAACGGCCACGAGTCCAATATTGAAATTAATAAAGGACTCCAAATATTGGGCTCTTGGACCTGTTGGAGTTGTTTCGATGTCAATATTAATTTCCTTACAAAACGACAAGATAGTTTGCCAGGCAAGGTAACATACGCCCACTACCAGAAATGATAACAAAGTAATAAAGTCTGTTGTGGTTACCAATTTCAACTTGACTGAGATCTTGTCCATATATACATGCATACCAAGTTTCATCGAGAACAGGTAAAAACTGCACCCTGTATCTTGACTACAAGCCAAATCTGTAGGGTTTTTACAAAATCAAGGGCAATAACTCCAAAACCATTCATCTGATTATGACAAAATTCAAACTTGACCGATATCTCATCAATATATACATACATACTAAGTTTCATCAATATCGGATAAAAACTGTAGTCTATAGCCTGCCTAAAAGCCAAATTTTACTAAGTCAAGGGCAATCACCCTGAAATCGTTCATCCAATTATTACCAATTTTGAACTTTACCGATATCTCATCAATATATACATGCATACTAACTTTCATTAAGATCGGATAAAAATTGCAACCTTCATCGTGCATATAAGCCAAATTTAACGCGTCAAGGGCAATAACTCTGAAACCGTTCATCCGATTATTACCAATTTCGAATTTGACCGAGATCTCATCAATGTATACATGCAAACTAAGTTTTATCAAGATCGGAAAAAAATTGCAGCCTTTAACGTGCATACAATCCGCGCTTTAACTAAGTCAAGGGGCAATAACTCTGAAACTGTTCATCCGATTGTTACCAAATTATAACCTAACCGAGATCTTATCAATATATACACGCAAACCAAGTTTCATCAAGATCAGATAAATACCGTAGCCTCTATCGTGCATACAACAAATGTGGACGGACGGACGGACGCACAGGGGCGACGGCAATATACGTTCACATTTCTATGTGGGCGTATAAAAATGTATAATGTCGATTTGTGAAAGTACATTTGTAGAATTGTAACTTGAAGAAAATAATGTGTCAAATTGTAATAGTTTGAACGTAGGCCTATATTGATAATTTTGAGATTTATTTATAAATCATTACAAGTTCAATTGTCAATTTGTCAACTTTAAAAATGTAAAATTGTATGATGAAATGGCGATATGTGAAATGTTGATTGTACAAATGTAGATGTTATATTTGTCAGATCGGATCGAGAGTAAATTCAGTGTTCTTCCACCTGAAAGACACATTACATTCGCGAGCTGCTCGTGGAAAGGGGGTGTGAGTTGCATGACATCTTGCCAGTTTGATATACAACTTCCGATTGGAAAATTGAAGAAACATCTAGTCCTAGAAAAATACGTAATAGTTTCAAGTCAAATTTTACTTTCTCGGTCAGTTAGACCTGCTATAGTAACAGTGGTGAAAATCTAGGTTTGATTCTGTAAACTATAAAAACATGAATAATTTTGTCAAATGAAAACTGATGTAATATACATCTGACCTATGCTCTAGACATTTTCAGTTATAAGTTCTCGTCTTACCAAGATTAGTAAATCAAATATTCTGAACCTATATCCCTTTCGATTTCGGCATAAATACCGAAGTTGGACAGAACAGGCATTCAGTAAGGGAAAAACCACCAAAAGTATGCCAAGACTTACGCAAGCGTAACGAGATAGAGCGATCGGTATGTTCAGTATGGGAGCTTCTCAACGACAGATAGCAAGAACCTTCAACTGCTCCCAGACCACCATCAGCAATTTGATAATCCGGCTCCAACAGACAGGATAGACCCAAGACCGACCAAGATCGGGAAGACCGAGGGTGACAACACCGGCCGACGACCGCTACGTCCGGAGGATTCATCTTCGAAACAGATGGGTGACGGCGGCGTCGACGGCAGCAACAACACTATGTCATGTCATCAGCAAACGAACAGTCCTTCGAAAACTTCGTTCAATTGGTATACGAGCCTACCGACCCTTCCGTGGAATGGTATTGACCCGTCTACAACGTCAACGCAGATGAAAGTCGGTTCTGTCTGTTCAGGAACGATGGCAGAGTTCGAGTTTTTCGACGAAGGGAAGAGCGACTGGCGCCAAACTGCATCACAGAAGTTTACCCGTTTTGAGGTGGAGGCGTCATGGTATGGGGTGGCATTTGTGGTCAGATTACAACACGGCTGGTTATCATCTGAGGGAATCTGAATGCTCAACGATATATAGATGAAGTGTTGAGACCTGTTGTAGTGCCTTTTATTCAACAACGGCCAAGAGGATTCTATTTCGTAAAAAATCCATTACGAGACTCCCATGAGACAGTACTGCGCATGTCCAAACATCAGTGTACCTCAGGCGCTTGAGCGGATTAGACGTGCTCTTTTCGTTCCCGAACTAAAAAAAAAATTTACCACTGTATATGACAATTTAATTTGTATTTCGATATAATCATGTGTCGTTAATCATTCATTCTAGATCTTCGGCTACTAGTGGTAAACGTGTTATTTTTACTTTTGTGGTCCTTGTCTGCGGACTTGGCTGGCATGCCGGGCTCTAGCCCTCGTGGTGGAGGCGGCCATCTTGAAAATGCCGAAGATAATATTGTGAATGTTGATACTGTGAAAATTAAGAAGAGGAAACACGATGGCACATCGTCTTCTAGGAAATCTCTTCATACTAAAGGATCGGTGAAAAAGACTGATTCTGTGATTCTTGTAGATGACCGGTCGAAGACAGTTGTTGATGTCAATACTACGTCAATCGATGCGATTCCGTCGAAATCGACTGCGCCTAATAATTCCGATATATTAGCCATTCTTCTTGCTATTCAAAGCAATCAGAAGAAACAGGATAATAAACTTACCAGTCTTGCCCAACGTGTGACTGATTGTGACAATGTTCACAGCTATGAACCTGTCGTAGACAGGTTTGAAATTCACGATGGGAACGACCCAACTTTTGTTTTGGACCGAGATCTTGGTGGCCCTGTTTCCCCCCTAACTGTCCTAGTTATAGGCCTATAGAAGAATCAGTTTGTTCTGATGCAGAAGATGGGGAAATCAAGGATGCCCCTCTCAATGAAGATGACACCCCAGATAACTTGTTTAAAAGGGCTGGTGAAAAATTGAAGGTCAGGAGCCTATTGATCAAAATGTTAACAGTAACTTATCAAACTTTGTCAATGACTGGTTCATCAATGGTATCGAAGATAACATGTGCCAGGAACTTCTGAAAGTTGCTAGGCCTGAGAATTGTACAGCTTTAGTTACGGTTCTATGTAACATTGAAATTTGGAGTGTATTATCAAGTCAGCCAAAAACTCTCGATAAAAAGTTGCAGAACATTGAAACTTTACTGGTTAAGGCAGCTTCTATCTTAACAAAAGCAGTACATAAACAGGGCCAGGCTCAGGAGGCCTCTGTTCTTGAGATTGACAGATCCATGGAAGTCTTGGCATTGATGGGTCAATGCAACCGCCAACTTAACTTTTTTCGAAGGGAATTGATGAAAGTCAGAGATTTACATACAGAGTTTTCTCATTTATGTTCTCACAGTAATAAGTTCAATCAGATCCTTTTTGGGGATGATATACCCAAGAAAGTCAAAGAAATCGGTGATTGTAAACGTTTTTTTTTTGATAAAATTTCTGGTGGATTTGGTGGAAATTCTTCTTTTAACAAGTCTAATTATGTTAGGCCACATGTAAGCAGTAGCAAGGGTCGAGGTAGATCCTTTGTTCCTGGTAGAACCTACTATGGTAATAGGGGTGGTGCGAGAAGTTCTGGTACAAATCGCACGGATTCAAAAAACTTCAAGAAGGGCCCAGCGCGCCCAAAAGAAAGACAGTAGAAAAGATTTCTACAGTTAATAAGGCAAGTAAATTGTTTTTTGAAGCAGGAAGACTGAAACAGTTTCGTTCCTTATGGATGGAATTAACTTCATACAAATCTATTTTACAACTTGTTTCAAGTTGTCCATTGGAGTTCGTAAATGGAAAACGCCCAATTCAAAATTCTTGCCCATTTCAATGCACTTTCAACGTGACGGAACATGCAGCTGTGGATGCTGAAGTCAAAAAGCTTGTTGAGTTGAAGGTTATCTAACAAGTAAGCCTGAATGATAGGCATTTTGTATCTCCAATTTTTATCAGACCTAAGCCTAGTGGAGAATATCGCATGATATTAAATTTAAAACAACTAAATCAGTTCATTGTTTTCCATCACTTTAAGATGGATACCTTTGAAATTGCACTGAAACTTGTCAAGCCTAATTGTTTTATGGCAAGTGCTGATCTTAGGCATGCTTATTATTCTGTGCCCATATTAGAATCAGATCAAAAGTTTATCCAATTCATATGGGAGTGAAAACTGATTCAGTATTCCTGCTTAGCCCAGGGTTTGTCCAGTGCTCCCAGGCTTTTTACTAAGTTGATGAAGCCTGTTTATGCTACGCTCAGACGGTCTGGGTATGTAAATTCTGGGTATATTGACGACTCATTGTTGTTAGGAGATAATCTTTCTGAATGTCAGGAAAATAAATGCAACCATCAAGCTTATGCAAAGCTTTGGGTTCATAGTTAACTATGAGAAATCTGTGCTACAGCCTACCACTAGAATCACATATTTGGGAAATGTTATTGATTCAATACTTATGAGAGTTACTCTCACACCTCGCCGAATTGAAAAGATGATGGATGTGACTGATCCAATGAGGGTCGAACTCAAGTGGTGGATCAGTAATTTGTCTAAGCAGTTTCGAATAATTGATCATGGCACTCCAGACATAGTGATGTCGTCTGATGCTAGCAACATTGGGTGGGGTGCTTTTTGTGAGGGAAATCACATGGGCGGATTGTGAAATTCCGCCGAGTCTGATCACCATATCAATTATGAAATGCTTGCTTGGTTATATGCTCTGCGATGTTGCAAAGGGTTGAACGCTCAATGTCACATGTCAAAATCCTTATGGATAATACGACAGCTGTCTATTAACAACATGGGTGGCGTTAAATCTCTGCTTTGCAACAAACGTGCCCATGCTATTTGGTTGTATTGCATTGATAACGAAATCTGGTTGACAGTCAGTTACATTCCTGGATCAGAAAACTGCTTAGCTGATATACATTCTCGTCAGTTCAATACCCGAACAGATTGGCAACTGGACTCGGGGGTGTTCTCAGAATTGTCTTTGAGGTTTGACAAACCTAACATTGACTTGTTTGCATTCAGACTCAATACTCAACTTTCAGTTTTCTGTTCTTGGGGTGCAGATCCCGATGCATCTTATGTTGATGTCTTTAAACTGGTCTGATCATTATGGATATATTTTCCCTCCTTTCAGTTTGTTGGGTCATGTCGTCCAGAAGATAGACAGGGATACAGCAGAAGCTCTGGTGTTGGCGCCAATTTGGCCAACACAGACGTGGTTCATATGGCTTATGGAGCTACTCATAGCCGTTCCTATTATTCTTCCTTCGATAAACAGCCTGCTGATACATTCTCACACCAAGAACCGTCACCCTCTTCGGGATTCTATGGTAATGATGGCCTGTCGGGTTTCAGGCAACAGTTCCAAGACTCAGGAGTTTCCCATATCACAGCCAATATCATTCTGTCCAGTTGGAGAGATAGCACCAAGAAACAATATCAAGAATACTATAAGAAGTGGTTTCTCTACTGTTGTGAAAAACAGATTGATAGTTTTCAACCATTAAATCATGACAAAAAAGTCCAGGTGGGCGTGGCACATCCGGGTTAAATTGCTAGTTGTTCTGGGGCAGGGGCATAACTTGCATAGTCTACATTTGTTCAATAAGGGACTTTGCACACAAATACCTCATCTCTTTAGCCAAATTGTGTTTAAACGACAGTTGTTTCAGATTTATAGTTCAAAAAAAGGAATGGGTTTTAGAATTTCCATATTTTTTTGACATTGACCTTTGATGACCTTAACATTTGTAGGGTCAATGGTCGTTAACCTTGGTTATCTATTTATACTTTCATATTTGATGTCGGGCGTAAGCTTCCGGTTTTGTATTCGTATGCATTTTGAAAGTTTGATAAGTGATATCTCGTGACCTTGACCTTTGATGACATTGACCTTGGCTATCATTTGATAATTTGACATTTGACCTCCGACATGTACTTCCGGTTTTATAGCTGTCCGAAAAAAAAACAAATTCGCAACTTTGGACTGCTGTAGCACGTGACATAATTAACCTAGAGGATTAATTTCTTCGGTTTCCTAATGTGCTTCTCATGCACCTTACATTGATATATAACAATCGTTTTTTTACAGCAAAATTGAAATTCGTCATTTTTTTCAATTTGAGGTTTTTTTTTTACAATATTTGTGTCTCTTTGAGCTTGGTGTATGTATATCTTATGACCTATTTGATGTAGAACCTTGAAATTTGGAATACAACTAGACACTTTGAATATGAATTCACCTATGACAAAAGAATTGATGTGGGCGTGGCACATCCGGGTTGAATTACTAAATGTTTACAATTTTGGGAGGGGGCATAACTTGCATAGAATGCATTTGTTCAAAAAGGAACTTTTCACACAATTACCTCATCCGTTTGGCCAGTTTGTGTTAACAGCTCAGTTGTGTCAGCTGTATAGTTCCAAAAAAGGAATGGGTTTTAACATTTGGATATTTTCAATTTTCGATTTTGACCTTTGTTGACTTTTGTTGACCTATATCTTTTGACCTGTATTATGTATAACCTTGGCATTTGATACACGACATAGATATTTTTAATATTAATTAACTTATATCAAATAAATGAGGTGGGCGTGGCACATCCGGGTTAAATTACTCATTATTGACATTTTTGGCCAAGGGCATAACTCGCAAAGTAAACAATTGTTCAAAATGGAACTTTGCACAAAATTACCTCATGTTTTGAGCCACTTTGTCTTAAAATTTCGGTTGTTTCCGCTTCATAGTTCAAAAAAGGGAACAGGTTTTGGAAATTCAAAATTTTCAATTTTTGACCTTGACCTTTGTTGACCTTGACTTTTGTAGGATCAAACGTCATTGGCATTGGCCATCTATATATACTTTAATATTTGCCGTCCTATGTCAACTTCCGGTTTTATAGCTGTATGCAATTTGAAAATTTGATGACTTATATCTCGTGATCTTGCCCTTTTTAGACCTTCTCCTTTACAAGATCAAAGGTCACTGACCTTGGCTATCTGCTGATACTTTTATTAGTGAGGTCGGGCGTCTACTTCTGGTATTAGAATCTTCTAAAAAATAAAAAATTATCAACTTTAGACTTGTTCTTGCGCTTGACCTAATTATCGTCGACGGTTGATTTTTTTAGGGTCTTTAGCAAATTGCTACATTTGCAAAGTCCCACTCTGTACCACGTGTGGCTCTAGTTATATTATTTTATTTGAAAAAAGTTGACTTTAAATCCTGATGTTTGGACATGCTATCTCATGGGAGCTCTACATGGATTCTATTTTACTCATAGAATCAATCAAACTTCAACTTTAACCAAGGTAAGTCTCGTTTAATTTTTAAATCAATGTTACATCAAGACAACGCAAGGCCTCATACTGCCAGAATTGTTCAAGACTATCTGAACAATACCAACGTCGAAGTATTGCCCTGGCCACCTTGTTCCCCTGACATGAACCACATTAACATCTCTGGGATTGATAGTTAGCTGAGAAAACATGTACCGCCTCCAGTGAACCGACAGCAACTTGGACGGACTCTATTGAACTTATGGAACAGGATTCCTGTTGACGTTATCCGCCGCCTGACGACGTCAATGAGGAGGCATGTGTTTGCGTGCTGTTTGCCCAGGGTGGCCACACTCGTTATTGATGAAAACTTTCTTTTGCCTGTCAGTTTAGTTCGGGAGATAGTCCAGTACATCTTTTTAATATAACAGGTAAGTAAATGTCAGTATTGATTTCTAGTTGCAGCAATCAAACCCCAATGGAAAATTTATTTGGAATTTTGGTTTATTATTGAAATGGTTCATTCATTTGTGATTATTAACAAGTTTTGTTGTAAGTCAAAAAGTAGGCTTCCTGGAGTGTTCATTTGTTAATTGATGGTCGACGGGCGGACATTGGTGACGTTAATGATTATTTTAGTTATATAAATTATATGAAATGACCTGGCCTTTCTCTTTCTAGAGTTTTCTAAACTCCTTATAAAGGTCATTATGCGACATATATACCCATTCCATCACAATAGTGTGTAATTGGTAAACTTGCTGGAAGATCAATCGACATTATGTACCATACGATTTGTAGTGGAAACTTAACTTGGAAACCTACATTTCAAACTTACTAAATGCATCATTGAAGAGACATCCTTCCCCTCTTCCATCCCCTCCCCTAGGAAAAAAAGGTGTATTCTTATTTCGTCCCTTCCTATTTCACCCCTAAATTATTTCCATCTCGTCTCTTTTCCCTATACAAGAACGGTTTTAGAGCTGACCTACAACCAGACATATTGACACTTATAGATTTTTGATGGTCGCCATTTTCAAAATGGTGGCAGTTGTAGCTACTTGAAATTTAAATCATTTTATTCCTTGACTCCCAAAATGTACAATAAAACACCAAGAACAGGTCTAGAAATATTGACAATTATAGATTTTTTTATGGTCGCCATTTTGAAATTAAACATTGTGGCCTCTTGAAACATAAACCATAGGATTCCTTGACCCTAAAAATGTACAATTAGCTGCTGAGAACAGGTTTAGAGCCGACACAATATATTTTTGATAGACGTCATTTTGAAACTCAAATTAAATTTCAAGTTAACAACATTTTAAAGTTACTTTATGCCAAATTTGGTGCTTGTATCACAACATGCACAATACCTTCACATATGGGGTCTATGCCGATGCACTACTGTGAAATTCAAGTGTTGATTGCAATTTTCTTTATTTCTACCATGCGCTCATATTGTTTGTGTTCCATCATAACGACTTCATTATAACATTTTGTTAAAACAGGTTTACCCCTTATTTTTAACTCTCGATTAGTCATTCTTTGGCATTCCCATTCACTCGGAAAATTTATAACCCATCGACAGGTATTGTCCATTTTATCATGGATCAGCAGTTTGATCCTTGGCTGAAATTCTATGGTGGACATCGTTATTTCTGGATAAGCTATTATTAGTTTGTCCATTGCCCTTTTCACTTCAAGGTGCGTCAAATCCGAACCGGAAAAATTGAAACAGACAGCTTTTGGTTTGAGACTTGGTTCTTTTACCATTTTTAGAGGTGTAAAAGGGGCATTATTATGCCTATGATTTAATAACTCTTTAATAATTCCGTCTGCAAATTCACCATTTTTCACCATATCCAGTTGTGTTAATCTAAATGAAATAATTAAGAATAATAATAGACATAAATTGTTAATAATTCATAAAACATAAATCTATCACCACCATCCCAATAAAAAAAGCAACACAAACACATTAATATACAAGAAAACTTAGAAATGTCTAAATTGGTAATTCAATATAATAATAAGAACAAAGTGGCCGCTTTGATATATTGTGTATATTTTGTAACATTCATAAGCATCTTCACGTCTAGGACAAAACAAAATTTTCTTGTATATTGCTTACTTTTTCAGATTCTTGTGCGAAATCCGAAATACATAATCCTGCAGTTTACATTTCAATATTTTAAGAATTTCCCATTGACTTAAATTTAAATGTTGATCATTAAAGGCGTAATTAGTAGTTTTGCACGATAGTATTTACCAGCAAACACTTTTATTAAACTATTTTCCGTTTCTATTAATAGAGAATACCTACTAACAGTGGTCTTAGTAGGTATTCTCTATAAATTGAAACGGAAAATTTATCACACTGAATCTACATCCGTAAGGATTTATTTCGATCATTAAAGAATGAAACCATTCACCTCTTATCACCAGGAAACGAAAATTCCACTTCTCGCAAATGTGTTGTATTCTTCTGAGTTGAAATTGTTAATGCTTCGGTTTCCAACTGCAAGATTCAACACAAATTCTGTTAATTAATATTTAAACATGAAGAGAGAAATTACCAGAAGGTTGTTCAACATTTCTTGCACTTTTTAAATTTTCTTATCGTCACTAAAAATGATCCCATCAATAATTGAAGCCAATAGAAAGAACACGAGATAAATATGAGCAGGTATATAACTTCGTGTTGGTATAATAAAAATGACTGTTCTTCATTCCGACAGTTCGTCATTTTCATCATTTTACCTCAACTATTCCCAATGATGTCTAATCCTATTTATTTCTTCCTTTCAAATAAATAATTCACTTTTGATTTAATTAAAGTTCTAACCCGTACTAAATATAACACGTTCGATTCTTGGTATAGAAATTTCAGTCACTCCTTAATCAATCTGAAATAGCATTTTATATCACCTTCACACTTTCTTCATTTCATTCATAGCCATATATAATGAATAGGTAGACTTGTTTTTTAGTTTTATGTTGTCACTATCAAAGTTTTCCTGATGACTTGTCAAGGAAATAGTGGGCATTTAATGTTGACACAGAATGAAATAGCTTTATTATGTGGATTTTATATTCCTTACAACAAATTTGGCCTCGACAATTTCAATCAATTCTTCAATCATTACATTTTGTCCACACCTTTTGAGCTTTGGAAATTGTCTTGCTAGCTAAGAATTACTCTCGGCTTTAACTATATGTTTGATTTAATGTTTATTACCATCAAGCCCATCTAAGCTTTAAGAAATATAAGATGCAATTTAATCCTTCAATGTTTTTGATTAAAGATTTTATTGATCGTTGAAAACGTTGTCAAATAAAAATTTGATAGTGACAACCGGACTTTACTTTTTGATAATACATTGTTAAATTTTACTAAGCATCGAAGCTTAATGGAATAACAATCACTTGTAAAGCTTATGAAACATTTCAATGTCATTAAGTGCACCAGGACGATGGGAAACGTCGCATTGAAATTTAAAAATGGTTGTAAACGGAAACAGAAAAAAAACCATACACAAGCATACATACAGGATGATATATAGGTTAGGATTTTGACATTTGTTTCTCGTGCATATAACAAACTTTATTTATGTTTTTCATTTATGTAAATTGTACTCTAAGATAATCTAATCCTCCTGAATTATTACTCAGATATAATCAAAATCTAATCCAATATTTCTATAATCCTCAATTGATCAAAGATATGACTCAACTAATTAAGAAATCAAAAATAATCCTAATCCTCAACTGATGAAAGATATGACATGATTCACTCAATAATTTTTAGAAAATCATAAACCTGTAATAACTGACTACTATATAAATCGCAAATTCAATCTCATTTCATAACCATTCCTCGACACTTGAAAAAGGATAATATTTTGAAAACCGGTTCGTGTCAATCGCGTTAGTTTTTGTTTTACTTGTTATAATTTTTCACATCATTGTTAGCGTTATTTATCACCTAAATATATATTTTTGTATTAAAAAAAAAAAAAAAAAAACTGAAAGAGCGTGGGTACTCTAAACGATTTTTACGAAACATAAAAAAATTCCACCTTAACACAGATAACAGCTAAAAACAGACTTTATGCCGAAGTACCTCCAGTTTTAAGAAGTGATCCATGTTAGTCCAGTAGATGCAAAACATGTCCCTTTATATCAGAAACTCATTATTTTGTAAACAACTCTACGAATAAAAGGTACCCGATCCAGGAACATCTAACATGTGAACATTCGAATGTAATATATTTAAATTTATGCAAGAAATGCCCCAAACAATATGTAGGATAAACTAAGAATAAATTACGAACTCGTTTTAATTCTCATAGTGAAATATTGCTAATCGTTGTAAGAGATCTACATTAGTCCAGAAGTAAACTATAGGGAATCACGGGGGTAACCTTCAACATGTAATAGTCAAATAGGGTGGTAGCTTTTAATCTGTAATCTTTAACACTTGTTAATTAACATCGGTGTGGTGTTTATGTAAGTAACAGATGGTAGTATACAAAGGAGACCTATCCCATGTCGGCAGGAAATGAGACACTGAGAGATTAAGGAACTAGAGAGGTATAGAAAAGGAATTGGTCAGGCATGGCAATTAGGGTTAAGGGATCTTTTGACAATAAGAAATATTTCATATGATGGCCATCTGGGGGGAGATAAATAGGAGTGTAGTTAGGGTATTGAGTCACTCATAATTGGTTGAGCACTCGAAGTGTTAAGACTCATTATCTGCTCCACTAATTAGTGTCATTATTGTCACTTACAAGTGTTAAATTACTAATCGATATTAGGATAGCTGCTTTTGCTGGACTTAATAGTGTTTAGTTATTTGTGATTTGTGAGCTGAATTTATTAATTCATCTTGCATATTTTTGTGGTTGCTGATAGTTTTGGATTTAAGTGATTACTTCTAACTATTTGGATAGCCGCTTTGTGCTGGATTATTCCTAGTGTTTTAGTGAATTGTTCTTTTGTGAATTATTCACAACTCTGATTTCTTTGAAATCGTACTATCTTGGTCGTTAGATCCGCCCGGATCAAAGTAAGATTATACTGAATTCTACTCTCTAGTCAGTCATAATACTTATTCAATTGGTCGTTAGATCCGCCCGGATCACAGTAAGATTATACTGAATTCGACTCTCTAGTCAGTCATAATACTTGTTCAATTGGTCGTTAGATCCGCCCGGATCAAAGTAAGATTATACTGAATTCTACTCTCTAGTCAGTCATAATACTTAATTACCGTTTCTACTTACTCTAGTCGGTAAAATGGAAAGCCCAAAAGCTGATGCTCGTACTATGGCGGAAGTGTTTAAGAGTACTCCAACTCCAAAAACCTTCCCCAAAGCCACGCCAGACAAGCCCTATGATCATGTAGTTCTTGTCAGACCCGAGGAGGGTCTTACATTCAAAGGATGTAAGGCAACAGCAATCGGTCGGGAAATTAGATCTTGGGGAATTGCCGGATTCCCAATGGTGAAGATCTTAGGCAATGGATCGGTTCGCTTAGCTTTCCAGGCGAGGGAAAGCGCGGACATCGCACTAACTAAGGACAGCCTACTCGGTAGAAAGTCGAGGATGGGGGTACCGCAATCGGTCAGCTCAGACCGATGCGTTGTGTATCGGTTACCATCTGCTTACCCTGAGGAGGAATTGTTAGAAGACCTTCATGAAAGGGGGTATAACGTATTTAGTGTACGGCGATTCAAAGTTAATGAAGGAACCGAAGATGGAACGGTAGTAATATCGTTCCCGAAAGGGCAAATTCCAAGACAGATCGGAATCGTCTACCTGATCCGGAATACCTACCCCTACGTGGACGGGGTCCGCCGCTGCTACTGCCGAGGAACAGGATGTTCGATCTGAGCACTCCAACTCCAATACTTGCTTAACCCCTGGGCACGACTGGCAGGACGAATAAAAAACGTCTCGAACGGAACAGGATTAGACTCGTATCTTTAGTACTGTCGCAATGGATCGCAGTCTCAAAATCCTGCAGCATAACCTGAATGGCCTTCGGGCCAGGCTCACTGAACTGATTAAATTTCTAAGTACCGCAAGGTACGACGTTCTCTGCTTCCAAGAAACCAAGCTCTATCCTGGAGTTAAAGATACAATATTGCCCGGATATCGTTTATCTCGACTGGATAGGCCTGGTGCCCATAGCAAATGTTTCGGTGGAGGACTCGCAATCTATGTCAGGACTGAACTATCATATCAAACACTAGTCCTGCACAGTACGGAGTTCGAAGTCAACGGAGTGTCCCTCTCGCTTGCCGATGGAAGCAAAATTGCAATAGTCAATGTTTATCTGCCGCCTGGTAAGAATGTCATTGAACCAAGCTCGTATCGAAACCTATGCGAACAGATTTCAAACCGGAACGTCCTGTTCTGTGGTGATTTCAATTCTAAACACAACGCATGGGGATCGTACAAGCAAGACGAGCGAGGAGAGGGATTACTCCATTTCATTGAGGACAACGACATGTGCATACTTAACGATGGGAGGCCTACTTTGATTCATAACTCTTCTGGGGTGATGTCTCATCTAGACCTTACTATCGCAACATCTAATATAGCTTCAAACTGTGAGTGGCAGGTCAGTTCGACTGAAACGCTGGGAAGTGATCATCTATTAATAGATATCACTTACAGGGGTCAAATAAAGAGGGAAGGTACCGTTGGAAAACCAAAATGGCGAATCGCAAAGGCAGATTGGATTAAATTTACTGAAAACTGCTCGCAGTGGGACGTACAGGATATACAGGACGCCGATGTTGATGTCTACGCCAACAATGTCACCATCGTCCTCATGGAGGCAGTCAAGGACGCTATCCCTAGGACCTCTGGTAAAAACAGGGCTTGTCCTAAGCCCTGGTGGTCGGACGCCTGCCAAAATGCAGTAAAGCTTAGAAAGAAAGCACTACGTCGTGTTCAACGCAACCTCAACACCGAAACAAAACGGACATACTTGGAAGCCACAGAGAACGCCAGGAAAGTCATCAGTGAGGCTCGCACCAGTCACTGGCATGACTTCTGTCAAACGCTAAACCAGCATACCCAGATCAGGGATGTCTGGGCCAAAATCAAATCGATGAATGGCACTAAATCTACCCGCGAAATCCCCGTAGAAACCTATGGTGATAGAGTAGGAGAGAGCGATAGACAGAAGGCAGACCTTATGGCTGAGAGCTTTGCTGACGCGAGTAGTGATAAACACCACTCCCCCGAATTCATGAATCGAAAAACTAACTTCGCAGTGGACCATTCCAATGTGTTGACGCACATAGATGAAAACGATCCACTGAATCTCCCTTTCACGTCTGATGAACTTCAGAAAGCTCTCTCGTCTAAAAAAGACAGTGCAGCTGGGGAGGATGAAGTCAAGTACTCGATGTTGAAGAAATTGCCTCCCGAAGCTTCGAAAATCCTACTGGATTTCTTTAACGAATCTTGGACCAATGGCCACGTACCGACCAAATGGAAGACGGCATCCATTATACCTATCCTAAAGGCAGGGAAAGATCCCAATAAAACGGAGTCTTACAGACCCGTCAGCCTGACATCCACGTTATGCAAAATCCTCGAAACGATGGTAACACATCGTCTTCGGTATTACTTAGAAAGTAATAATCTTCTAGACAAGAATCAAAGTGGGTTCAGAAAGCTCAGATCTACGGCGGATCACATAGTTAGGCTACAACACGCAATGTCTAAGACATTGAACAGTTCTGGGTTCCTCTGTGCAGTGTTTGTAGACCTAACGAAAGCTTTCGATCTTGTCTGGACAGATGGATTGATGCACAAGCTGCGCCAACTAGGAATAGGTGGTCGTATGCACAACTGGATAGCAAGTTTTCTTGCGGACAGGAAGATACGTGTAACCATAGGAAAGAGTCTCAGCGAAGAATTCAGTTTGGAAAATGGCACGCCCCAAGGCTCGGTTATTAGCCCCACTTTGTTTAGCGTAATGGTCAATGATATCCGCAACTCCAAATACCTGTCAAACAAATGTCAGATCGCGATGTTTGCTGACGACAGCACTTTTTTGGGGGATGGTACGTTATATACGAACCTGCAAATGCGGATCCAAACATGTTTGGATCGCTCTGCAAAGTGGGCAAATGACTGGGGATTCAGAATATCCAAAGCCAAAACGGTAGGAATGTTGGTCTGTAAAGACCCCCAGGTGACCGACATGCGACTAGTATTGGACGGCGAACGTATTCAATTCGTTAGTGAAACCAAGCTACTTGGTGTAACCTTCGATAGAAAACTCTCATGGGAACCCCACATTAAAAACATCACAAACAGATGCCAAATTGTGCTGAACTTAATGAGGAATACATCTGGCAATGAATGGGGCGCCAATGTTGTGACGCTCATGATGATCTATCGTGCGCTGATCCGGCCCATCTTGGACTACGGTTCACAGGCATTCATGACCGCCAGACCAATGCTCCTTCATAAGTTAGATGTCATACAGCACAAAACCCTCCGACTAGCCACCGGAGCAGGCATCGGAATAAAAACGGAGTCATTACTCCAAGATGTTGGTGAGGTTCCTCTACAAATCCGCAGAGAGGAGTTAGTCCTTAGATACTGGTCAAAGTTGAAACACCTTGGAGAATCATCCCCTACCTACCTCGAGACCGCGAGGTTCAGGCACGCCAAAAAAACGATAAGCTTCGGACAGTCAGTTCGGGATTCCGTTCGGAAGTATGGGCTAGATAGGTTGCCCATAAAGCCTCTTGTATTTTCCCAAGTTGCTCCTTGGACGGTTTCGCCCTCCATTGTCGACACCTCTCTCGCCTCGAGAGTGGATAAGAAACGGGACGATCCTTGCATCGCTCGAATGATCGCCTTAACTCATATGGATGCAAGGTGGTCGGAAAGCATACGTATCTATACTGACCCGGATGATGGTACAACGGGTTTGGGGATCTACGTCCCCTCGAGCAGCACAAGAATTAGCAAGCGATTGCCCAATAACTGCTCAGTGTACACCTCAGAGATGCTTGCAATCCTCTACGCGGTGAAATATTCCGCGGGCCACTATCATTCAAATTATGTAGTACTAAGCGACTCGCTAAGTAGCCTGACATCGATACTCAACGATTCCTCTAATTCCCAAGCGGAGCTAGTGGATGCAATCAGGCAAGCGTGCTCACTTGTACATAGTCAAGGCAAATCAATCGAGTTGGCATGGCTCCCGTCTCATGTCGGCATACAAGGGAACGAAATTGCAGATGAACTCGCAAGAATAGGACTAGGACTATCGGAGATTGACCGGATAGACTACAGTTTATCGGAAATAAGAAGCATGATCACAAAAAGCATCAAATCGACATGGGAGGCAACTCTCATAGATGCTAATGCATTCCGCTTCCGATTAAACGATAGCATTAGCAGTAAAGTGTTTTTACACCACCCCAATCGACAGATCTGTCGAACGGTCGCCCGTCTGAGAATGATGGGTGAGGTACGAAATCACAAATACGAACTAAAGCTATGTCCCTGTGGTGAAGCTGGCACCGCAGAACATCTGTTAATCCATTGTGAGCAACTAAGGGAATTAAGAAAATCGCTGGTCGAGATAATGAAAAGATATAGGCTGGAGTACACCTTGAAGAATATTCTGTCCCATACGGGGGAGGGTATGTCAACAATCTGTGAGACAGTCTATAATTTTCTTAGTGAGTCACGAAGGATCACATAAAGTAGCACATCAGAAGAGCGCCCCGCTCCTCTGTAGGTGTGGCGATCATTGGGGACTTAGTTCTCTATAGATCGCCAAGAAGAAACACAGAAGAAGAACGCAGTATTAAGACTACAGAAGAAGATCAAGAAGAAACCATGGGAGCAACCCGTTCCCTACTCAACGTCTGCGATATGGAATTTCTCCGAAGCGGACACCATCCACCAACAAGAAGAACAAGGTATTGAGTCAGTCATTCATTCATTCTTTAGCTGTGCTTTACTTCAAGCTCTTAGATTTGGTCAACTAAAGTTTGAAAATCTTCCTGAAAAGGATTTCTACGAGGGACTTCACTCCACGATGATGAAGATCTAGTGAAGTTAAGTAAAATATAAACTATATTGTATATTTTGTTATAATACTTACGTGAAACTATTTATTCATTGATCATAGTAACGAAAGAGATGTAAACATCCGGCGAAATATAATCCGGGATCACTTACCCGACAGTGCCCTAGTCCGGGTACCTGGACTTCTGTATATACCCTTTTTTATACTCACCTGACCTGAAAAAAAAATAATAATAAATCCTGTACTAAACTATGGCTTTCTATACAAGGAAAGTAGAACTGAACAAACAGCATCATACGTACCAACACCCTAAATATGTATCCGGAAGAAGAGACAACTGAAAAGATCAAGTCAGTAGAAATTCTGTACAGTATACAAAATGTAAGTAGTGATTCGATAGAACATATCAAATGCTTACAAAACATACAGCCAAACAGTTTCTATTTGACTTTAGACTCAGAGGAAAAAATATGGATGCCTTTCTAGATGAATTCACGGATAACTTGATGGTAAAAGGTGTTAAATTAACGATCAACAAATGTAACGAGAGGGTATGGAGAGAGCCAGTAAATAAGGTGACAATCACTGTCTTTGGTGCTCCATATCAGCTCCAGTCCACCCAACTAACTAGGAAACTAGCGCAATACTGCACAGTGCTAGAATGTCGCCCTACGACCTTTGGTGACTTTCCAACTATTGATACTGGCACTAGAAAAATATATGTGAAAGACATTCAAAGACCAATTCCCACATCAATGTTTATAAGGGGTTCGAAAGTTAATTTCAGATACGAAGGACAAATAAGAAGTCAACGTCTATTCTACATCTGCAAAAAAGTATGGACATATTAGTGACACATGTCCAGATAAAGAGGTGACTAAACAACCAACACCTGAAGAAATAAATACAGATAAGTCAGCTTCTGAGGATAAAATAACTGAGGAATCTCCTATGTTAACACCGGTAATAGAGGAGACTGAACCTCCTTTAGCTACTATGCCTACATTGGAATCCCTATCCACTAGATCCTCTGAAGTAGTGCCCCACTTAGCATCTATTAACAATAGGGAGGAACTAGTAGGGAGTCTACCAAGAACGGCAAAAGTTTTGTCATATCTGACTCCGAATTCCTCCACCCCTCGAAAAGCTGAGGAAGAAAGAATATCAATACCCTCCACTACAGCAAAAGAAAACACAAGGGGGAGTAATAGTGACATAGAGACAAGTACAAGCAAGTCTCATGTCTACTAACAATCAATCAATTGAGTCAAACGCAGCTACCTCAGTGGGGCAGTATGACTCATCTTCATCTTCAGATTTAAATGATATATCAGATTTATTCCTCCAGATAAACGGAGACGATATCACCGGTAAACGAAAAAATCACAAAACTATTCAGATATTAGTTCATTTGAAGACGATCAAGAGAAAAAGGTGAGAGTTTTCTCACAAACAGTAAGTTATCTATACTCACATACTAATCAAAACACCCTGAACATCCCTATTAACCCTTATAATGGCTTTCTCTATTATTTCATTAAATATTCAGAAAAGTCTATATAAAAAATATACGCAAATCACATCAGCCTATAATACTGCTCAAATCCTAAACCTACAAGAAACATCATGTATAACACATATACAACTACAAGATCTATAACAAAACTCGAACTTCAATATTTATACAAATAATGGTACTCAAAATGCAAAGGGTGAGGCTACCTTGGTAGAGAAAAATTTACAGACAAAGGATCTGACGCCTTCAGGCTTCTTGGAGGGGAGGCTTCTTCATCTGGAAGTAATGGTAAATAAAACATTATATACAATCATAAATGTCTACAGCCCTGTGATATATAAAGAAAAAAATGAATTCTACCAATCACTGTCACTATACTTACAAGAAAATATCAATTTACAGAATACTATATTAGCAGGTGACTTTAACTACATCTCGGATATCAAAGATATCAAAGATAGCAAAACCCAGCACAATCTGTATAATATCAGACAAGACATCAAAACAAACTTCGAATCAACACTTATCAATTTGCAATTACAAGACACTTTCAGAACAACATATCCAAACAAAATTTCATATACCTGCCAACAGACTACAAGAATTGATAGAATATATACTAGCCAACATTTTATGTCACAACTAAAAGATATCAAACATCTACCAACCATATTAGGGGACCATAAAACTGTCATAGCAAAATTTAAACTTACCAGAAATAAATGGGGCAATAGCTATTGGAAACTCAATACTCAAATCTTGAATAATACGAACTTTAGACATCACATAACCTACCTACTAAATTACTGGCATACACAAAAGTCACAACTTCAAAACCAACTCGACTGGTGGGAAGAACTCAAATAAAAAATAAAGGCAATATCCATAAAGCATTCCAAAACATACTTACCATAGAAAAAGAATTCAACCTAGGAATTCTTATAAGATCCAAAACACCATTCACAAGTCAAGATACAACCAACAAAGACATTTACAAACGAACGCAGCCAACAAGGATATTGATAAACTTATAAACAATACAGGGGAGGTCATCACAGGAAAGCTTCAAATTTTAGACGAAATCCACAATTACTACTCATCTCTCTACTCCTCCCAAACGATTTCCCAGAATACTATTAACAAGTACATAGATAATACACACCTCAATGTTCTAACTGAAGAACAGCAATACTTACTATCGCAACCTATCACTGGGGACGAGGTTCTGTCTGCACTGAAGTCATTTAACAACGACAAATCCCCGGGTGTTGATGGTCTACCAAAAGAGTTTTATCTGGCATTTTGGCCCCAGATTGGTGAGGATCTCACGGAAACTATCAACAATATATACCTCAAGCACGAACTCACAGAAACACAAAAAGCAGCAATAATTACAATTTCATATAAAAATAAAGGTTCCCACACAAACTTAAAAAATTACCGACCTATATCTTTACTAACAGTAGATTATAAAATCATTACCAAGATCCTTGTTGGTCGGCTATCCGGGGTTCTGGATGATCTCATTTTCCCTTTTCAGACTGGAGCCGGAAGAGGTAAGACCATCTTAGACAATCTGCAATCTATAAATTTCATCTTGCAATATATGGAACAGAAGCATCTAAGTGGGACCCTTGTCGTATTCGACCAAGAAAAAGCTTTTGACAGAATAGAACATAACTATCTGCTCACACTACTTCAAAGACTAAAATTCCCATCATACATAAACTAGATTAAAATTCTGTACAATAATATTACTAGCAAAGTCCTTGTAAACGGCCTTCCCAATACAACGGTCGGTTCGGCAGGGGTGTCCACTATCTATGCTTCTGTATTCTATAGCTATTCATGTTTTGGCATCAAAAATTATGCATAATGAAAGAATTATTGGCATCAAAACCCCAAACTTTCCTAAACAAGTTAAGATCTTTCAACATGCAGATGACATCTCGGCACTCCTCACTACTCCATCCTCTCTTTCTGAAATTACTCAAGAAATTACTGAGTTTGGCACTGCTTCCGGCTCGAGACTGAATAGGGAAAAGACCGAATTCATCAATATCAATGGCTTCAGGTCGGACACTGACCTAGTTTCTTCTCAAACAATAAAAATACGTGGCATTTACTTTGGTGAAAACAGCATACAGAAAAACTGGACTATTATTGCAAATAAAGTGTTTGGTGTGCAAACTACATACCTCCAGCGTGCTGGAAACCTGTCCTTCAGGGAGCGTATTGTGGCGTTAAATACTTTCATACTGAGCCTAGCTGTCTTTTGTATGAAAATCATACCGCCACCTCCTGGAATCATTAAACGGTTGGAATCAAGCATCTTTAATTTCATTTGGGCTGGTAACGCAGAAACAATCAAACGTAAAACGCTTATGCTGCCACTTGACCAGGGTGGTCTCCAAATACCAAACCTACAAAATAAAATCTCATCTAATAATCTTCATATCATTAATAAACTTACCGCAGTTACGGAATATACTTACCCCTGGATGGGCTTAATGAAATATTGGCTTGGAATAACTCTCCGTGAAATATTACCTCTCAACCTAAGCCACACTGTGACAATACACGAACCTTCACAAATATCTAAAATGAGGCAAACGTACAAACAAAACGTTAACATAATCAACTTTACACAATTAAATACTAACAAATATATATATATACCAGCAGCTACAACTTCATTCAAATCACAAACCTAAAATACTAGCTATTAGCCCAACTATAAACATTTCATCTACATTCAAATTTCAAAAATCTTTACTACTGACAAATAGACAGAAAGATTTCATGCTACTTACTATCCACTATGGTCTATACACTAAAACACTGCAACAAAATAGAACTTTCAACAATATCAATACTACATGCAACTACTGCCATAATAGACCTGAAACACAAGAACACTTACTTCAAACATGTACTTACCTATATCCACTTCGTAATTTCTACATTACACATATACAAATTATAACATCAAACAAATCATTTCAGCTACCATCTCCATATTATAACATTCAACACTATTCCATGCCAGAAATAAAATACATCATATTAATATTCATTCCTTATATACAAATAAAGATAAATCAATTTCAATACAAGATCTAATCTACTCTCTTTACCAACATATAACCTGAAACTAGTATCACAAACACATTGCCATACATCCTGCATTGAACATGATCCAAACTTCAACGAAATAACCTACTCTATTCTTTCTTCGAACTTACCTTTACTACAGCAGAAATTAATCATAATCATTCAATTATACATCCTGTTCTATGAAGAACAGAAAAAAATAGCACTTAAACTTTAACTCTATAATGAAATTACTTAGTACTAATACACTACTTCTCAGCACAAGAC